CTTAAGCCCTCTCTACAGGGTAGGAATTTCTAGGTTCAGGAAGGTGGGTCAGCTACAAAAGGCCTCCCAGCTTGGAAGTGGCAGGACCAGATCCCAAACCCAGGCTCGCTGTGCTCCAGAGAGAGCTCTTGACCACTCCTCTTCCTCCTGACACAATTAGGACTGAGAGGAAAGAGATGCCGCCTGCCCCTTCCCAGCTGCCTCGTCTATTAAGGAACCCACACCGTCAGCCACTGTCACTCAGAACCCCCGTTAAGGACACAGGGGAAGTGGGAACCAGCCCACACGGAAGGGGGAGCAAGAGGAAACAGTGGGTGCGTGGGGAGGGGTCGCAGTGGACAGTGGGAGAACCTCTCGGCAATGCAGGCAACGTCTGACCAGCAAAACCACGGCTTCTCTGAAAGCGGCAGGCTGGGCTGCCTGCGGGCCTGTGGGACTCCATGGAGGTGGGCGGGCTGACGCGTGTCTTTCATCCCTTCCCCACGCTGAGAAAACTGGTGGCCATGCACTGGGCGTTCTAATTTACACACTGCCATTTGAAACCTAGCTGCCTAGCCTCCCCACGCTGCCTGCTCCCGGGATTGAAATGAAACCTGGGTCATGGGTTCAATCCCAGGGATGGAGTGTGTTCAGGGGAGAGAGGAGAGATGTATGTCTTGGTCTCTGCCCTCACTGAGCCACCATCCCCCAGGGCCACCGTGACCCTCACCGCCCGGCCAGCAGATCCCAGGCCCAATGCGGAGGGGCAGGCAGGTGAGCAGGGCTGGAGGGTGGCACCTGAATCTCTGACAACCACCGGGCTCCCTGGCTCATGGATGTCCAGTGGAGGGAGCAGCTGATAGATCACAGCTGGGACATTGACCTTGAGTCTTAAGTAAAGTGAGGAATAAGAGGCCATATTTCATCCATCAGAGCCCCGGGAGCCGTGAAATATCGAAGTGTGAATAAGGACAGCAGCAGATCACTCCCCACACCTGGGAGCGTGGCTGATCTGTCTTCCGTCCGTCACCTGCTGGGCAGCTGGGATCAGGGTGCTCAGGATGCAGCGAAAGAAGACCCTGGGACTCCCCGGGCCCCCACGGTGCTCTCTCTGGAATGGGACAGGAGTCACTGAGATTCACAGGTTCCTAGAATGTAGGCCTTCACCTCAAATGTCGCCCTTTTAGCCTGGCCGGGTGGCTCAGTTGGTTGGAGTGTCATCCATACCAAAAGATTGCAGGTTCGGTTCCCAGTCAGGGCACATACTAGGGTGTGGGTTTGATCCCTGCTCAGGATGTATAAAGGAGGCAACTAATCGATGTTTCTCTCTCACATCCATATTTCCTTCTCTCTCTCTCTCTCTCTCTCCCCCCCCCTCCTTCCTCCTTCCCTCTCCCCCTTCTTTTCTCTAAAGTCAATATAAAACATACTTGGGTGAGGATTTAAAAAATAATAAATAAATAAGTCACCCTTTTAATGAGGTTACCCCCGACCACCCCACTTAGAGCTGGGCCTGCCCTCCTACGCCTCAGCACGTTCACCCTCTCTCACCCCGTGATGCCTTTCCTTTGTCCGTAGAGCACCCCGCTTTTCCACATAATTCATAATTTACTGACATGGTTCTCATTTGCTGTCCCCCACTCTCCCCACCAAGCTCACCTCACGGGGCGGGGACTTGCGTCCCATGGTCATTGCTGTGTCCCATACCTAGGGCAGCACTGAGACACAAGAGGGGCTCCATGGAGACTTTGTGGATGAATGGATGAACCTGGAGAAAACTTAGACTGGACTGATCCCAGCCCCTCACCCAGGAAGAGCAGGGACCCAGACGGGGACAGGACTTGCGCCGGGTCATACAGCCTGTTGGTATTGGGAGCCGCAGAGCTGGGGGGAGAATCAGGCACTGGAGTCCCCGGCCAGAGCTCAGCCCTGCGCAGCCCAAGCTGCAGTCACCTCCCCCCACCCCAGCCCCTGCCCCCCTAAGAATATGTTTGTCGGTCAAGGTCATGTTCCATTAACTACCTAGAGGACCAGGAAGCTGTGCAGCCCTGGGTGGGGCAGGCTGGGGGCTTGCTTCCTCCCTGATTTTTAAAAAATATATATTTATTGATTTCAGGGCAGAAGGGAAAGGAAAAGAGAGATAGAGACATTAATGATGAGAGAGAATGATTGATGGAGATGGAGCCCACAACCTGGGCATGTGCCCTGACTGGGAATCAAACCGTGACCTCCTGGTTCATAGGTGGAGGCTCAACTACTGAGCCATGCTGACTGGGCCTCCTGATTTTTTTAAAAAGTAATACATGTCCTGTTACCAACTTCCTAACCCCAAGGGCATCCAGGAAGATGGGTTCCAGGACTGGGGAGGTCAAGGCATGTTCCTTCCCGGGAACTGAGGGGCTGGGGTGGGAGTGAGGTGAGAAGTGTTTATGCGGCACCGCCACCTGCCTGACCGGCCCATGCTGGGGCCTCCCCACAGATCACACACTGAATCCCCACGCCAGGCTGGGTGAGGGCGGGGGAGGGTAGTAACAGCCAACAGTATGGACCTGGGTGCCAGGCACCGTTCTCGGAGCTCTCAGTATTCATTCGCTTAAACTGCCCAGCAACGCCGTAGAGTGGATGGCTTCTATTCTCGTCTCCACGTTAGAAATGTGAAACCAGAGGCAGATATGCCGCAAAATGAGTAAGTGCTGTCATTCAGGGAGCTCGGGACGCATCCGTGAACAGAACAACGTGGAGAACCTCGTCCTGTGGGAAACGGGCACAGGCCGATGAGTGAGTAAATTACAGAGGGGTGGGAGGCAATACGCCCGTGCAAAGAAGACACAGCAGCGAGGGTCAGGCTCGGGGTGGCGGGCAAATGGCAGTTTTACACAGTGGGCTGGGCGGGCCTCACTGAGGGGAGACTTGGCAAAGACTTGAAGGAGATGAGCCAAGCAGAGCTCTGTGGGGAGGGCATTCGAGGCAGAGGGAACAGCCAAGGCGAGGCCCTAAGCTGGAGTGTGTCTACGGAGCAGCAAGGGCCAGGGTGGCTGCAGCAGAGAGGGCGAGGGGCAGTATAGGAGATGGGGCGGGGTTGGGGGGCCGATCACAGCCGTGCAGGCCCCTGCAAGGACATTTTCTCCAGCACATGGGCTTGTTCAAATGCTCCCCTCATTACAGTGCTCACATACGCTCACAGCCTCCGGCCAACACCCTCCTCTCGGCCTTGTTCACATACCAGGGTTGCTTCTACTCATACTCACACACACTATACTCACTCACTCTGGCCAATAGGCACACGCTCATACTCACACTCACTGGCCAATGGGCACGCACTCATACACACACGGAACTCGCTCACACGCTGGCCAGTGGCTCCTGCTGGGCTTCACACTCCACCTGCCTGTGTGGGGAGGGACAGGAGCGGTCCTCCTCACCCCTGCTCCCTGTGATTCCGGCATGGCCTCTCCCAGCCCGACTGGGAGCAGAAGAGCAGGCCAGTCCTGAGGCTTCAGATCCACACCCCCCAGCAAAGTGCTGGAGAGACTCCCAGAAAGCACAGATGCGAGGGTCTGTGATTGATTCACACGTGGTTTACTCACATGGGGTTTACTCACATGTGACTGACTCACACGATTACGTCCACACTAGGATCCCAGACCCACGTGGCCATCCTGCAGGGACACTGAGTGCACATAGTGGCTCCTCTCTGTGCTGATTGTCCCCACAGGAGCTGGCTGTCCTCGGGCTTGGAGGGGGCTAGGAAAGGGGAAGAGAGGAAAACTGCTATGTTAAGTTATTCTGTCAAAACCAGGACAAGGCACCTCCAGGCCAGGCCAGCCTCACCTGCAGCTCCTGGCTGACAAGTAAGTCCCATAGTGAGGCTCCACTTCCTGTGCCTCACAGACACCCTGAATCCCAAGGCAACCGACCAGTGCCCCCAGGCAACTCACCTGCCCTGCAGGAGATCTTGCCAGGAGACGGGGGTTGGATGGTGTTAGTGTTCCCTACTAAAAAGATGATGATAATGATGGCTAGATGACCAATAGACAGACAGGCAGGCAGGCAGATGATAGGTGATAAAGTAGGTAAACATTCACCGCGTACAGTAAGCCCTCACTTAACGTTGTCGATGGGTTTTGCAACGAGTGAAATGATGCATAACAATCCAATTTCCCCGCAGGCGAGCAGATATAAATAAAGAGTTAAGTCTCTGCAGCACTTCATGAACGTTAGAGCGAAGCAGCGTTAGAGGAAGCGGCATTCTGCAATGACCTGCCGTACAGCTGTGACTTATTGGGCCTATGTCGCTGCCAGGGCTCCGCGGGCATCATTCCTAATCCTCACACGCGTCTGGAAGTTAGGTTTTCAAACTGCTTTTACAAACGGGACTAAATTCCTGGGAAACTGAGTCACACAGGCGAGACCAGGAACTTGCGCGCCAGGAGTTGAGCCCAGAGCCCAGGTCACTCTGGTGCCAGATCCTGTGTGCTCTGAGGGCTAGGGACCCGCTGCCCCAACTCCCTCAACCCTTTGCTGGCTGTGCCCCCCGCCTGCCCTGCTGTTGCACCCCCTTGCTCCTGTCACCCCCCGCCTTTGGGTGATGCTTTGGTGGAATTCTCGAATGTCAGAATTGGGCACAGAAGCATGGAGAAGGAAGTGATTGGCCCCCGGCCCCACAGCAAGCCTGGGACAGAGCCGGGCCTGGAGCCTCGTCCCTTCAGCTTGGACCTGAGGATATTTGGAGGGTGGGCACAGCTCTGCTCCGCTGTCTTCTCTCCCTCAGGCCCCAGGGTTGAGATCGGGTCAGAACCCTGACTTGGTGGGACAGAGCAGCCTCCCCACTGCCCACCTGAGGCCTCTCACCGAGGTCATTCCTGTCCCTGACCCAGATTTGTCCCTTCCTGGCCAGAAGCTTGGGGAGGCCCTGGTGTCCAGGGAGGATCCGCAGAAGCACAGCCCAGAGAAGTGCTGAGCGGGTGCCTCCTGACTACTGGTGGGAAGGGCTTCTGTCTGCCGGTGAGGCGACGGGCAAGTGACCTGCTCAGCACACCAGGCGTCAGCAGGCCACTCCCCGGGGGTCCCGCCTCCAGATGTGAGGCATGGAGCAGCTCTCAGGGAAGTGCCCATCAGTGTCTCGGTCCCTCATCCATGCGTGTGCTGAGTGCCCCGTTATGAAAGATGACAGTTCCCACCTGTGAATGCTTTACCTCCATACTGCGTCCAAAGAGACACACTGTGCAGGTTTTCCCACCCAGTCTGTGGACTGGGCAGCAGTGTCATCACTCCCATTGGACAGATGAGAGAGCTGAGACTCTGAGGAGGCCATCTCCTTGTTCAAAATGGCTCAGCTGGCAGATGGTGGGCCTGGATTTGAACCTGGTCTTTCGGACACCAAATCAAACATCATCATGGCTGCTTTCTCTTGCATAATCATGCCATAGTCACTGAACTCATTACTGAACAAATATCATATTTAATTTCCCTAAGGATGCCCTGTGGTCAATATTAACCCATTTTGTAGGCGAGAAAACTGAGTGAGGCCCAGAGACTCATGGTGACTTACCTACATCACACAGTCAGTAAGCTTGTGTCACCATGGCACAAATTCAACCCGTTGTTGCCCCCATTCATTTCTTTAGGGCGCTTCTGATTTGACGGAGGAGGGGATTATGACTGCGGGAAAAGGCAGGCCCCCAAAACGCATCCTTGAAATGAGTGAAGACTTCATTTCCTCCTGGCTGGTTTCTTCTATAGGGGTCATCGGTGACTCTACCATTGTCACTGAAACAAAACCTAGTGCTCTCTCACTGATTGCCAAGCATTGTGCCAAGTGTCTAACACACTTTCCCTCATAATCCTGACAACAGTCCTACAGGTAGGTCCTAGAGTTCCTAGTAACTGAGGCAGAGAGGGCTGAGTATTCTGTCCCAGGCCACACAGCTGGTCATGGGCAGAGCGGATTTGAACCCAGGCCCAGCTGGCACCACGCAGATGCTGCGAACCCCCACGCTTTATTTCCTGCAACCTCTTTGCCCCAGCATGTGACTCGTGCCATGCTCTGCTCTGGAACTGCCCTGTTCTTCAGCCAAGAGGACTCCCCAATGCTGCCTCTCAGCCCCAATCTGACAGGGCCAACCCAGCCCATGGGCAGCAGGACCAAGAAGCTCCTGACGAGGGTGACCGAGCCACAAATGTGTTTCCAGCAGCCTCTGCCCGTCCTGCCCGCCTGGCAGAATTTGCTTTGTGATGAATTTTTTGGCCATTTTGAAAGTTGTGCTAAAATGTACAGAACATAAATTTTACTGTTTTAACCATTTTTAAGTGTGTGTTTCAGTGGCATTAAGTTCATTCACATTGTTAGGCACCATCACCACCATCCATCTCCACGACTTTCTCATCCTCCCAAACTGAAACTCGGTGCCCATTACACACCAACTCCCCTCCCCCTCCCCCCTCCTTTTTCTCTCTATTAATATGGCCACCTGGTGCCTTGTATAAGCAGAGACATACAGTGCATGTCCTTTTGTGTCTGTCTTATGTCACTTCACACAACGTCCTCCAGTTTTCCGAATGCTGTAACGTGTGTCAGAACGCGGCATTATGGGATATGGATGCTCCTTGACTTTGCTTGTGATCCACATGCAGGGCCCTGTGCTCTCTGTGTTGTTCTCATGTTAGTGTGTGTGCAGCTGGGAGAGCCTGGGAGAGCATTTTGAGGAGGTTGGTGCTGCAGGTGAGTTGGCCCCTGGGTGGCGCCCTCACGGCATTATGGATCTGCGACTGGGGAGAGCTGGCTGGTCAGGTTCGTCATTGGGTGCAGGGACTCGGGCTCTGTGTGTTCTGGACGCGGCAGGTGGGGAATCTTTATTCTGCATCCTCCTCAGTTTCCAACGACGGGCAGTGTAATTGGTCTGACACCTTCTGCATTTTTCCTGTAAGTGATGAGTTGTTATCGAGCAGGCTTTTCTCAGCTCCTTGAGGAGAGAAATGACAACTCTCATCGTCATCGTCATTGGGGGACTGGAAGGGGAGCAGAGGGGGCCGCCGTGTCCACCCCACTATACTTATTTCTCACACTCAGCCCAGGAGGTTGGCACTGCTGTCCCCATTTTACAGGTGAACAAACTGAGGTTCAGAGAGGGGGGAAATGATCCCAAGGCATGTGGGCCGTCAGGGGCAGAATCAGCCTTCAGAGAGATTTCTGTTTGATTGCAAAGCTCACCCCCTTCCCCTGAGACCTGCAGACCCAGTTCTTGGGGACTGGGAGCTAAAGACAGTTAAATACAGAGAAAAGTTCCACATTCATAGAAACTTGGA